GGGGGACAGCAGAACCGGCACCCCCCAAAAAAGGTATGCCAACCCCTCGGTTAGTACATGGATAAGAGACCACCAAAGAATATCAGATGCTGCCCATTTCAGATGAAAGCTATGGCAAACCACCTCTATTTGTTGCCTAAGAAATTCTATGAAATTCATGGGGTCACCATAAGTCAACAAGACACAGCAACAGCCCTTCTTTTCTGCTCTGACTTTTAAAAAATATCACAGTGGAGTTCTATTTTTGCTGCCTAATTTCCATGTTGTTATCACTGTATTTTAGTTTATTTATTTTTAGATTTCTTATTCAATCTTTCATCATGATGTTTAATTTTCTTGTGTGTTTCCTTGATAGTCTTTGACCAAAGGTGGCCTTTTAAAAAGTCTTAATAAAAGAACATAAAAATGCATAACCTCTGATCTAGAAGGTATGAGTTAGGATTCATACAAAGAAGTAACAGGAGATACCTACACAGAAGGTGAGGCTGCTAATCTTTCACAGCAGGAGTAGCTGAATAATAGAATCGCAAACTGATGGGGGAAAACAGTAGCAATTATTTAGCCATGGAAGAGGATTAGAAGGCTAAAATAGCCAAACAATTTGAGATACAAATACTTTCCAAGTGTTGGGTATTTTGAGCTCCCAGCAGCTTTTGAGCACACAGTTTAGGATTCAACACATTAAAGTACTTATGACCTGTCCCTGCTTAGTCCTGTCATCCCACTTTTTCAGCCGCATGTACAATGTCTCTCCCCTTCCCCTTTCCCCTCTTTGTTTTCAGCTTATGTCAGTTGCTGAAAACTGAATCCAAAGGGCAAAAGTAGTTTGCCATCAGTTAATTCAGTGGTAGGACAGCAAGGCTGGGGGGGGGGGCAGAATCATGTCCTTCCCAATAGATCAGGCAAAAGCAAAACTGCAGCAGCCTGCCTTAGTTTATGCATCCTTCCCCATTAATAACATTTGCCATCCTGATGTTGCTTGGCCACACGTGTCTCGGTTTTCATCTGTGAAATGTTGGAGGGTATGCCTTTGCAGGTGCTCCAAAGCCGGGTAAATGTCAGTTCCTCAAAAGCAGAGTTTAGAGAGGCCTCCATTCCTTCCCTGCAAAGAGCCTGTTAGTTTCAGAATTATTCCAGCCATTTGCTCATGAACAGCCCTTAGATATCCACTCTCCAAACCACAAGGCACTGGAGGCCAAAAAGACAAAGCCCTTTCTCGAAATACTTAAGCAGAGTTCAAGATCTTGGCTCTTGCATGCTTCAAGAAAAAATGCCAGTCTCTGTGATCGCTGCCTGCTGTTTTTTCTTAACCCTCCTCCGTTGCAACTCTAACCCGGGTCAGGTCTCATGTTTCAGGGGTTGAAGTAGTAAACAACTTTGGCTCTGTGTGCAGTCATTCACTGGAGGAGCTGAGCCAAGCCCAGGAGATCTTGGCAACCTTCCCTCGTGATGGGTGCCTTGCCAGAATCTGAACTCAGTGTTGCCAAGTGCCTGTTCTTCCCACCAAGCCAATCAGATGCTTTTGTTCTGCTCTCCCAGCATCACGAAAACAACCTTGTGGGGAGCTGGCATCTTTCCAGTTGCTGAGCTGGCTAAATACAACTTGGTCAATATGAAGGATCCACGGAGGCTGCTAGGGGAAAGCCACGGGAACATCCTTTCTGGGAATGAAGCTGCTGATTTCCCTAAGAAATCTACCCAGCGGCTTTTATTCAGTTCAATAATTTTCAGCTCAATATTTATTATCTCAATGAGAGCCAGCATGGCATAGTGGTTTGAGTGTTGGACTATGACTCTGAAGATCAGGTTTCGATTCCTGGCTCAGCCATAATACCACCTGGGTGACCTTGGCCAAGCCAATTCTCTCAGCCTCAAGGGACAGCCATGGCACACACACACACGAATAAATCTTGCCAAGAAAACCCCATGATAGAGTCAGCATAGGATCACATAAATTGGAAATTACTTGAAGGCACACACAACAAGGACGTTATCACATGTGGGCCAGAAAGCGATAATAAAGTGGAAATGAGGCATTCCGAAAATAAACCAAAAATAAACCTTGATTCCGCAAATGGCTTTCACACGTAATTACCTTAATTGCAAAATTAAAGTAAGTTCATTTAATGTTCACACACAAGTGAGAAAAGCCCATAAATGTACTAGAAATGAGCTTCTTGCACATGCACAGATAGAGGAATGCTCTCTGGAACCATGGGAAAAGCAGGGAAATGCCCCCAAATGCGCATTTGCTTTTCACATTACGGTAAATGCGAAATTACCTTAATTTCGCATTTGCATTTCCTCCAAACAACCGAATTTCAAAAGATCTCGGATAACACCAGTTTCTGTCCAGTTTCTGTGCGACGCCGTGTGAAAACGCGAGGCACAAATCCAGTTTTTGTTTGGGATTTGTGTAGATTAACCAGCAGATTTGCCCCGTGTGATAACGTCCCAAGTACAACAACAATTATTATATCCAGAATATGGGCTAATGCATACCACCTTCATTCTCACGAAGACACCATGCTGTCTTCCGTTCCCTGATGTTTCAGAAGCAGACCCTTTCAAACCAGTAGCCTCAAATCATTCTGTTATCAGTGGTGGCTACTAGTCATCTGGTGATGGCTATATGCTGCCTCTTGGATCAATATGGCTGCTGCCACACTGAAGAATTGGTGCAGTTTGACACCACTTTAACTGTCATGCCTCCATCCTATGGAATCCCAAGATTTGTAGTTTGTTGTGACACTAAATAGCTCACAAAACTACAAATCCCAGAATTCAATAGCACCAAGCCATGCCAGTTAAAGCAGTGTCAAACTGCATTAATTCTGCAATGTAGATGATGCCTATGTTTCAGTGACTGGTGAACAAAAGTGGGAGCATAACCTGATGGTGTGCTCCCCAGAGGCATCTAATTTCCTACTGAAGGAATCACAACTTGAGAAAGTTAGTTTTAAGGGGTCACAAACCCCTTAAATCCTTCCTAAAGCATGGCTATACTCCATCAGCATAGAAAGGCACTCTGTGCATTCTCAGTGGCATCTAAGGCTGGACATAGGCTAGGCAGACAGACTTCTAGCATTTCTCTGTTTAGGCAAGAAGCACTGGTGTGAGGGAAAACACAAGAAGAATGAAGGAGTTCAGTTTGGAAGCAACATTTGAATTTATGCATCTTACTGTTGTTATTGTTGTGTGCCTTCAAGTTCTTTCCAACTAATAAAAATCCCAAGGCAATCCTATCATGGGGTTTTCTTGACAAGATTTGTTCAGAGAGGGGTGTGCCTTTGCTTCCCTCTGAGGCCGAGAGAGTGTGATTTGCCCAAGGTCACCCAGGGGGTTTTCATGGCAGAGCAGAGATTTGAACCCTAGTCTCCAGTATCACAGTCCAAGCTCAAACCACTACACAAGCTGGCATTTTCTAGATGAAGCCACAAGGCTATCTAGTGCAGCCCAAAGCTTGAAATTTTTACTTTTTTGGACTGCTTTTCCAAGAATCTCCCAACCAGCAGGGCTTTCAGTGTACTTTACTATTATAAGCTTCAAAGCCCTGACACAGAAAGCAAATTCTAGGACTAACCCCAAGGAGTGCTGTGTTATTGAAAACGACTTTGCTGCTTTTAGCACCAACCATCTCCAAGGCCCACACTAGGTTCTGTCACAGTGTATAGCTTAGAAAAATTACTTTGAGGGCTACAGGATCTGATGGGGATTCTGGCAGAAGGTGTTTTTTTCCAGCTTTTTCCCAAGCTCCAGAAATTTTAATCCACATCCAAATCACACACACTAGATACAGAGAAAACATTAAAATGTAATATTTTTGGCCTTTAGGGTTTGTTTGTTTTCCCTTAACATTTCTGTGCTTTTAATGGCCTAAATCCAATCGTAAGACCCAAATAGGATAGACTTATTTAATCAAATGGAACTTGGTAAATCAACTATATTTAAGTTTCACTGATTCAGTGGGCCTGCTACAGTTGGGACTAATAATCAGAGATCTGGCAATTGTGTGGCTCTGCAGATGTTGCTGAACTACAACTCACAGCCGGCCTGGCAAGCATAGCCAGTGGTAAAGTTAGGAACTGCATTCCTCACTGAGTCCAACATGTTTTAATATGTTTATTATAAGGCACCCGTGAACATGTCAAGCTGGAAAAATGACTTAGGGTGCATCTACACTGTAGAAATAATGTAACTTGACACCACTATAAGCTCCATCCTGTGGAATCCTGGGATTTGTAGTTTTACAAGGTCTTTAGCTTTCTCTGCTAAAGACTGCTGGTGCCTCACAAAACTATGAATCCCAGTATTCTGTAGGATGGAGCCATGGCAGTTACAGTGGTGTCAAACTGCATTACTTCTGCAGTGTGGCTGCACCCTACAACACACTTTTTAAACAGACAGACACATTTCATTGAGCTCCCTTACTGCACAGAACTTATTTCCAGAGAAAGAATATGCCAACGTACTAATGCAGGCAAGCAAGCAAGCATTTTATTTATATCCTGCCTCCTCCTACACACAAAAATAATGGGACTCAAGGCAGCTATTTATTCCAGAGCATGCAAAAAGAATAGTTTTGAACCTCAGCTATGAGAAACTCCTCGGGGATTCTGGAAACTGTAGTGTAAAATATGTCACATTCTCACGCTTATGGTCAAGCACACACAGGACAGAGGGCAACTAGATTTATGTCATATTAACTTTAAGTGTGCTGCAGCCACCTCCTTCCCTTCTCCAATTTATTTTTGGCACTGACCCAGATGGTGGAAGAGTACCTGTACTTTGTGAGTTGCTTCTGTAATTGTTGCATTGCTTCTCTCCCATCCACCACCCTGCTTCATGCTGCTGATAGCAAGCTTGAGCTTGTGAGCTGAATCTGAACTCCATGTGGCCTCAGCTATACGGAAAATAAATAGGAAAGGGGAGAGTAGGAAAAGAGTTTTGCTTCCAACTGGAATGTGTGTTTCCACAAAGCCTCCACTTTTGGTTTTTCCCAAAAACCATTGGTTTAAGAGGTGGCATATGAATGGATATTCCATACTGACAGCTACCAGCAACACATTCATATTTCTAGGGAAGCTTTCAGAGAGAATTTTTCTCTCCCACGGGATGAAGTGCTTTTCTAGGATAAATGTGCAGGCTTAAATGTGGTGGCTCTGAACTGCATTAGGAGAGCAGAAACCGGGGTGTGTGTGTGTGTGTGCACACCTTGTCTTTCAGTAACCACTAGGGAGACAGATTCAAAATGCTTCTGCTTCTGTCCCAGAATCCAGAAGCTTAAATTGTAGCCAAAAGTCTATGAAGGGGGATTATATTTAGCTCAAATTGAGAGGGAATTGGATACAAGGACCCAGCGAGACCGTCTCCCATGTGTATACCAAGAATTGGTGCAGAGACAGAATTCTCCAATTAAAGTATTATTTATCACAGGGGAAAATCACACAGTAATTCACATGCATGCCCACACTCACTCAAGGCTCAGGGAATCAGAGGTTAGCTTGGAAAAGGTTCAGAGACAATACTACGGGTGATACTTACTACAGATGAGGCTTTCTCCAGGATCCAATTGGGTGAAGTGGTGTGAGACACAACTGTTTTGAGACTGTGGATTGAACGGAGGTGCCGGTAACTAGATCAGAGTACAAAGTGACGCAGGGTCCCCCTGAACTCAGACTAGCGCAGTGCTTCTCCATTATTTTCTGTCACGCCCCCCCTAGGAGAAAAGAAAACATTTCGCGCGCCCCCGCGCGATCACATGGGCGGGTTTGGCCAATCAGGATAGACTACGTCGGGCTGCGCTGGGACAATCTCCCTCTCTCCAGCCGTAACGGGCCCCCCTTTACGGAGCCTTGCGCCCCCCGGGGGGGGGCGCACCCCACTATTTGAGAACCGCTGGACTAGCGACACTGAGGGGATAATTCAAGGGGTTTTTAAGAGCTCAACCTAGCCTCTGGCAAGGTGTTTAATTGTTTGGCTGAAGCCTGGACAAAGGAGTTTGATTGTTTGGGTGAACTAATCTGGTCTGGTAATATTCAAGGGGAAATGGGCGAGGATTATGTCATTAGCTGGCCTATCAGGTGAGACATCTAGGCCATCATCGCCCATCATTCTGATTATGGAGGTGATGATTGTTCATTTGCAACTCCCACACTATCTGACTGGCTCTGGGGATTGGGGATTTTCCGGTCTTCCAAGTGACCTGGGCATGACCTCTTTGCCTTGCCATGGAGGCACTCGGGGTTCACTGCAGAGTGCATCTGGGGCCATGTGGAATTCATACACACACCAAAATTCAGAAAAATGCACTGTTGCTAACAACATGAAGTCCATTTAACAATGGTTGTACTGATGTTGAGCGCTCAGGTTCCCAATGAGGAGGCAGCCACTTCATGCACCCAATTTGAGGTATGGTAAAACAGCAAACAAGTTGTTAGTTATCATGTCATCATTGTAATTTTTATTGCCAGGGAGAGATAAAAGCTCTTATGTGATTTTTGGCTCCACAGGATGGAGCCATGTCAAACTACATCAATTATGTGGTGTAGATGCAGTCCTAATCTCCATTGTAGTATGACATCCTTCCATGTCTTGGTTTTTGCTAAATTGCCACAAGAAATCAGCTGGATTCAAATGGAACAGGGAAATACAGTTTCCATATTGGTGTCTGAGGACCTTGGATCAGTAGTGGCATACATGTGTCATCTGCATTAAGCCCTAGGTTCAACCCCCTACCTCTCCACATATGTCTGGAAAAATCTCTGCCTCAAACCCAGGAAAGCTGCCACAGGTGAGTGCATAGACCACCCTTCCTCAAATAGGTGC